GCGGATATTGTCCTCTTTTGGAAGGCCAAACAAAGTAGTTTTGCTTTCACAACGAAACACACAGCGACTCCACAACATGGCAGCGGAAACAACAATACTACAGCAAGAATCAAAGTTACGCCTTCTTCCTTTGCGTGAACATTTGGGCGGTGTTATGCAAATCTACCCACACAGTGACGTAGACATGTGGGGGCGTGTTTAAACGAGGCGTTTTAGGAGGGCGTGGACGAGTCTTAACTTTTATAAAGAATATCTCTTTGGGTTTGAGACTTTAGTCTTTGCAACTTTAGGGATCTTATCTATTCACAAACAGCTTGTAACACTCCAAAGAGAAAGGAAAACTTGAAATAGCATCAAATGACCCCTTTAACATGCAAGAATTCAGAGACAAAGGGAGTGAACAATTTGGAAGGACATACTGATGGAGAATTCACACTGCGCTTTTGCAGAAAGGTTTCATATACAACATTGAAGTAATTGCTGTCAGCCCAAGACGGTGCAATGGGAATACTGCCAGAGGCAAATAGAGTACAGTAGGTGTTCCAATTTAAAGACTCACTCAGTATGGGTTCGAGAGTGGGGGAAAAGGGAAATTAACATATTAGCTGGCATATGGTTGTGATGAAAACCTAATGGCTACAAAAATGCAGTGCATTTGTAGCTATAATGATGAAAAACTGACCAGGTCAAACATAAGTTCCAACTACTTGCCTTACTGTGACAATAACATGTTCTTGGAATTTAAAGGGACAGTTCACCCTAAAATGTAAAGTCATCAATTACTTACTCTTATGTCATTCCAAACCATTTTAAGCAGCGGAAAATTCTGCTTTTGTGTTCGATGGAAGAAAGTCTAGCAAGTTTGGAGCAACATGAGGGTGAGTAAATAATGACAGAGCTGTTCCTCCAACTTGGTCTACTGTGGGTTCTGCTTTTCTAAGCCTCTTAGCGCTTTTACATTGTCTCTTTGTTTTCAGAGATGAATGAGTCTAAATAGGCAAATACGGCAATGATTATTCATAAACAGAAAGCATCTTTAAAAGCTTTAAGAATGTTACATGAATATTCCGTTGTGTGAGATAAGGACATGTTAATGCTTGATTATGGGCAAACAAAAGTGCTGATGAGGTGAACTAATTATGGAAGCATAATTCCATGCCACATTATTAATTACAGAGATATGACCTGTGGGCACAACTCAAGAACACACACACACTTATAAACTCGCATAGTTCCAGAACAGTAAACTTGAGTGGTTAAAATTAGACATTAGAGCAAAGAAACATTAAGGATATGCAACATATTCAAAATAACTAGTGCTGTCAATTTAATGTAATTCTATCAAATACGTGCTTTGAAACATGCAACGGGAATGAACGGGGACCTCGAAAGCTTTTTAAAAGTGGCATTCAAGGCATAAGATGCTCAAGAAAACATTGAGATGCATTCAATGACAAAATGAGATGTGCCTCAATGTGTACAAAGACTGACAATTAAAAACTTATTTAGTGATTCACACAATAATAATGACTTAAATGGGTATTTCGCCACTGGAAAAAGGGGCTTTCAAAAAAACTTTGCTGCCTATGCTGTTGAGAGGAGAAAAAAAGAAAAAGAATCACAAATATGGAGAGAGCAACACAACAGAAAACCTGAAAAACCTACAGTACGTATTTGTAGCCTCCATTTCAAAATAGATGATTACAAACAGTGTTTTGAGTGAACTAGAGAAGAAAAACTGAAATAATCAGCCATTCTGTCAGTTAAATAACCTTTAAAATTATCTTCTTTAAAATAACTAAATAGCCAAATTCTGGAGCTCTACTTACTTTAATAGTTTGGTTTTAGCATGTTGCTAAGCTAAGCTAACTGCGTATTCTAGTAAACAAGAAAATACAAAGCAAACAAATGCTAAAAAATAGACTTTTTATAAGTACTATTCATTTTTGAATAATATATACAAATAATTATAATTAATTTCTCCAGTATTGTCCACTGAATTTAATCTATTTCCATTAAGCTTGTCGCTATTCAAATATTATTTATTTTTAAACAAATTATACAAATATGTATACCGTATTCCTCCTGCATTGTCCACCAACTGTTATCGTTTTTTTCCCCTCCAAGCTTGTCACCATTCAAACACTATCCATTTTTTAAAGAACTATACAAATATTTATAATATAATACAATAGAATCATCCTCACAGCTGAGTTAACTTTTTTTTTTTTTTTTTGTAATTTGATGCAAAGGTAATAGAAAATAATTATAAATGTACACATAAAAAACGAAAATATAAAATACGAAATCTTTGCAGGATTTGCAATGCTGATGACCGTTAAAATGTGTCATCACAGACTGTGAAAAGAGTCCATTGTCCACCAACTTTCCAACCATTATTTTTTTCACTAAGCTTGTCATTTTGCAATTGCCATTTCTGTGCAGCAATGTATGCTTTAGAACGTATTAATGAGTTATTTATTTGTTTGCTTACAGAGACAATTTAGCATAAATGCTTTTATATTTCTGGATAAGTATCAGTTAAAGCTACATTTCAACTTTAGTTTCTAAGGGAGATCTTCACCCCTGGAGAACAATTTGGCAAAAAAACAAGGTATCTTCGAAGGCAGCATAATTACCGGAACAGCCTTCCAGTCGAAAGTGTGTCTATGCTGCTTCTTGTAGGCAGCTCACTAGGTTTTGGAACGCAGCCTAGATTTTAGAAGAGCGCCTTTGTTGTGCTCCACAATGCTGTGTTACAAAAGGTGTTGTATGATGAGAGAGCCGTGTAACTTACGTGAAGCGTGAAGCTTAGGGTGTTTGAAATGTGAAAAACAAACTTGAGTCTCACCCAGAGTAGTTGAAGAGTCTGCTGTCCCAGAGGCTGTGTTCTCCACGGGGCCCGCTGTGGAAGAAACAGGAGTCAGAGCCGTCAAAGCGGTTCAGCCCGTCCTCTGTGTTCTTGGATGCGTGGCTGTGCACCACATCGAGCAGGACGATAATACCCAGAGAGTGAGCCACGTCAATCAGCTCCTTGAGTTCCTCTGGGGTGCCGTAACGACTGGAGAGAAGAACAGATGAAGGCAGATATCAGAGCAGTCTGGGCAGAGGCTGTCTGTCAAGCTGCATGCTCTTCGTCTTGGGCTAAGCTTGAAACTAGCAGCAGTCTGACTGTTAAGACCAATTCTTTCAAAAGTATAGAGATATTTTCTGAGTTTATCGCAACACACAAGATACACTGATTTCAGAATACAGAACATCTGCTTGCTGCAAAATGTGCTAAAGAAAATGTGAATGTGAAACTGCTGGAGTCGGCTTTACAGTTAGAGCTGTAATGATGGCTGACGATTGCAAACTGTGATTAACAATGTTTTGTTCATGTTACTCACAGTGTAAGACAAATACACAAACAACTTAAGAAGCCATTTGTTCTGAACTTAGATTAAGAATAAACATAAAATAGATAATAAAATAGGCCTCTATTTGTTGGGGGCCATTGTCTTATGGGCTGCTCTCCAACATATGGTGCAATAGTACTTTAGGCAACCCAACATTGAGCCCCAGCTCGTGGTCTATTTCCAATCCATCTCCAATCCCAATTCGATCTCTCCTACACACGTCTTTAATGTCTTTCTTGTTCTATCTGAATAAAGGCAGAAAGACTAAATAAATAAATAAAAATAAATAAATAGAAAATATAGGCCTATATGATTTCTTTTATAGCTTTGAAAACTTTAAAAGACAAAAACATTTTAAAAGACATGAATAATAATAATATATTTTGTAATAATTTCAAATATTTCTATGAATAAATTTTGGTCTTTAGCCCACTTAATATAATAAAAAAAATATCTACATAATATTCACATAACATAACATAACAATATTAGGGCTGTCAACGTTAACACGTTAACGCATGCGATTAATTTTACTATCCTTAACGCCATAAAATAATTTAATGCAATTGAAGCAAAATTACTAAAGCACAATTTCTATTCTAACCCTTTAACCCAATTTTGCTTCTCTGTTTGCGATCAGATAATTTTAAGCCGCTAAACTCCGGGAAAGTTTTCCAATGATCCAGTAAGTGAATGCATTCAAACAATCTGTCCAAAACAGCACTAATATAAAGGAAACCAGGCTGATTAAATGCATTCAAACAATCCGTCCAAAACAGTGCTAATATACAGTAAACCAGGCTGATTACATCTGAGATTGCAGAGAGAACAGAGACTCGCGTTGCGTTTTCAGTTAATTATCCCAGTGTGTTTCGCTTTTAAACACGAGCTCTGTCATATTCTGTGAATGTCACTGAAGAGAGCGAGCCCTCACACGTCACACGCACTGTGTGAAGTATAGAATGAATGGATTGTCTCCCACCGCTGTATGGCCAGATGAGACGCGACTGGATAACCAGTGTCTCGCTAGTAAAGTTTTGATGGATGAAGACTGCAATCAAGGTAAAGACAATTGCGGTGGCATAGTCCGTTATAATAATGCGTGAGTGAGTGCTCTTGACGCACTGATCGCACATTGTATTTATGCACAGGCACAGACATTTCCGTACATTCACGTTGTTTCCACACACATTCACGATAATGTTTTGATTTTGACTGTAGTAGATATATGCAGTCAGCAGGCGGTTGGTTTAGGGTTTTTTCTTGGCATCTCCATGTTGTCCTGTTCAGTATCGCAGCTTGACTTCTCTAAAATATAAAAAATTATTTGCTGTTGCACTGTACATATACTACACAATTCTGATTTTTTTTTTTTAGCATTTGTTTCTTTCATATGTGCTTATATGGGCTCCTTATATCATTTGGAGTTTCTAAGTGTTCTTTTTTGGAAAGACATCTAAACTTATTTTTGATTTTGAGAATCACCCTTCAATCTTTTGGTTTACTTTGCTGGATATAGCAAATAATGACGATAAAAACATTTGAAACAAGATAAATGGTCTATGCTTAATTTCATAAAGTATGCGATTAATCGCGATTAATCACAGAAAAAGGGTGTGATTAATTAGATAAAAACAATTTTAAACACAATTTTAAACATTAACAAATAAAAATAAAAACTTGTTTAATAGGAAAATGGTAGCTAAATTAAAGTTCATTTTCAAGATTACAAACTGAATGAATGAATGAATGAATGAATGAAAACATACATACAGAAATAATTTTAGTTTTTCCAAAGAGAAAATATTTGTGATAGTTTTAGATTTGTAATTTCAACATGAAAACTGACATAACACTTCTCTGAGAAATGTAATTTTGTTAACACACCTTTGGCAGTCCAAAAATAAATAAATAAAAACAACAAAAATAAATAAACTATAAGACACTGTAAAAAAAAAAAAAAGTTATAAAAGATCAAATTAAAGTAAAAACTGATTAAAATTAATAAACTGTAAAGGACAAACAGAAAATAATTGGAATGGAAATTAAGAAGAATAGGTATATAAGAAAAGCCCCCCCCCCCCAAACAAGGTCTGTCCAATCTTAAAATACTCTGCCAAACAGTTACACCTAATCACTAATCCAAAAGTTGACATGTTCATCCACTCAAAACAAACAAAGCAATTATAGTCCCCCTTAAGTGGTGCAGTGGCCATACTTCATGGATCGGCCTTTTGGGATTCAAACCTACAACCTTCTGGATACCATCCCAGATCTGCCACATTACGTATGTGTGCATGTGTCTATCTCAGAAAAATCCCCTCTACACAACAGCTGTGTTTAGCAGCGCCAGCAGAACGACACATGTGCAAATACATCAACCGTGCCGCCCAATTGCCGTGTAAAAACAAACAAACATGGCAGTAAATAGAAATCAATCTCAGATTGTTTACACCATGATGGCGGCAGAGCAGAGGTCAAAGCCTCCATTCGGGGTGACGTACTGCTCCTTGCGGAACAAAGGGCAAGAGCAGCGCGTTTCCATCAGCGCTTCCTCACGTATCTCCTTCGTGTAATTGCTCCAAGAAGCTTCATCTGTCCTCCAGCTATCATCAAATCGCTTTCCCCCGGCAAACGTGATGCAGGGTGACAACAATACCCCTCCCCTCGGCCTCCGCCCCCTTCCCAGCATCCAGACCTTGCACTTTTTAAACGGCTCAGGGAGATCAATCATGGGTGAAATTACTCTGTATACATTATACTCACGCTATAGGCTGTCTTCAGCGCTAGCCGGTAAGGGCGAGCGACGGAATAAAGCACATAAATAAAGAATTCCTGCCTGTCTTCCTTTATCTGAGGTCTCTACCTCTCCACAGGATTAACTGCAAATGTGTTTACAGGGAGATTATCGGCCTCGTCAGAGGAGCCTCTCTGTGATTTGGGGCCACAGATGTGGGACAGCGTCTCATGGTGTGTGTGTGCACCTATCGTTTTCACTGAGGGGTGTTACATTTACCTCATTTTGAACATTAAGAAGATAAAAATGAGTGAATTGTACCATGTTATGAGCCTCAGGGCAGCATCCTTTTCATTGAGGGTCAACAAGTGCACCCTAGAGTTGATTTTCAGGGTCATTTTTTTTAACTTTGGCTCACAGAGTTCCTGCCTAGTATTCCAGATGAATCACTTAAGTTACTTGATGGTTAGTAAATCTGTCTTCAGGGTGATTCACAAAGAATGTGTTTTTGCATTTAAAAATGTGAGATGCAGGGGAGAGGAATAGGAAAAAAAAATATGGCTGTCAATCGATTACATTTTTTTCTAATTAATTACATGATGTGCTGATTAATTAATCACATCAGATAATTTCAAGTCAATATTGTGTTAAAGTTTCGGAGAGTCTAGCAACAGCAAGATAGCTTTGAAAGCATACGATCCCACCCTCCCTGCAAATCACTCTCCAAAGCTACGTCTCCTCCAAAACACATGAACGTGCACAGACAGACCAGAGACTAACCAGCGACACAATGAGAGACAGCGTTGGTGGAGGATTGAATGCAGTGCTAACATTGAAGTACAAAGCGCACAATATTACAATATTAACACTTTCCATTCTCGCTGGGTTGCGCAAAGGTATGCAAATACATACAGGCAGGTAGGACAGCCTATCGTAGCCCTCGGACCAAGGGATATGATTGGATGAACATTTTATGGTCCTACTACTTCCAGAGATAAAATATAAATGCATTTCAATAAAGGCAGTAAGCTCATTGGCTGCATATGCAGCATGAACCAATCAGCTTTTGCCAAGTCGTTTAACTCTCTGAATATCATCGGTTACGTTAACAATCCGTCGCCTGCGCCATCTAGAGTTTCATGACTGAACTATATATTTAGACCACTTAACTCAATGATTGTTCGGGATGTGAAGAGACTTTCAACCAGCATAACAAAAATGTTTTTTAACCAAATCACCTATTACTGAATAATGAAATATGACAAAAAAAAAAAGAAATTATACTCTAAGGGCCAGATTTAATAACAGCTTGTGCCAGCGCAAACCATCTTTTGGCGTTAAAATCGTACTGTCAGGATTTACTAAAGACGCGCAGTGAAGAATTAGCGCTGAAAAGGCATGGACACGGTTATTTTTGCGCCTGACTTTATTGAATATGCATTTGTAGGAGTTTCCTTTTTAGACGCAAAATTTATGGGAGGAGAGTATAATGTTGGTTTATGGAAGGAGAGTATAATGTTGGTTTTTATCCTTGTCTCAAATGCGCTGCATGTAAAAATGTACGCAAAAATGCTTTGAGTTTCGGAGTTGTATAACTGATCGCACATATGAAATTAAGCAACTGGTATCATGTGTTTCCACTAATGTGATTTAGCTGTTATCTTGTTCGTTTATAAAACAATATGTGGGTAAGACAAATAGACAAATTAGAACTCGGATCATTGAGCATATGAACGCTATTAGGAGGAAAGATTTAAAATCGCCTGTGGCTCGCCATTTTGTTGAGATGTCTCATTCAGTCTTAGGGTGCTTTCACACCTGTAGATCGATTGCTTTGTTCCGAAACAGGGATTAAAATTATTACAATGTTGCTTTTTATTCTTGGTGCGGGTCGCTTTCATACGGCAATGTTTCTAAACGGAACAA